GCTGGGGATGGGGGCTCAGCTGAGAAAGGAAGCAGACAATGAGGGTCTCTGGATTCCCCCTCCCACCCACCCCCCACCAAAAAAAACCAAGCCTCCTCTTGATGCACAGCTCGTCTCAGGCTTCCCAAACTTGGCCTCACTGCTGATGATTCCTCGCACCCGATGGAAGCCAATTTCCCAGCCATGTCAGATAGAGAGCACCGTGGGTGGCTGACAACGGGCACTCCTCCCTCTTTGCTGATGGGGACCCTGAGGCTCATGGAGATGACAAGACTTGCTGAATCCTGGCACAGACCTCGTTCCCTCTGCCTCAAAGCCCTTCCATTCACCCACCTCCCTGGGGCATCCTAAGCCACCCCACAGCCCTCTGATGCCAGTCCTGCTGCCAGGTCACACCAGCCCCATCTTACCCATCTGGGGTTTGATTTCGGACAAAGTCCTCTCCAGCTCCTGTATCCGATGTATGTCACGCTTCTTCTCCTCCTTCAATGTGTGAGCCTGCCCAAAGCACAGGGGGAAAGGGTCCTGGAGAGAGGGGCTGGTGACCGGACAGGCTATCATCTCCCTCTCTGCCCCACCTCCACAAAGCCCAGACCCATGACCACCTCTGGCTGTACTAGTCCCATGTTACAGATGCCCAGAAAGACCCAGTGACCCATCTAAGGTGGGGGCTGAAGGGTCAGGTCTCACCTCCACCGACATTTTCCGCATCCTCTCCTGCCACCGGGCCCTCTCTCCTTTTATATGTTGAGCATATTCGTCTCTCTCCAGCTGGACTTGTTTCAATGACTCTGTCACCTGCAGGAATGGGCACAGAAGTGAGGAAGGGCTGTCACTGGTCCTCACCTGCTCCTGGTCACCTGGGGTCATCTTCCTTCCACATCCCTCCCTCTACAAAGTCTCACTTGTGTCACGTGTGCGTTCAGCAGCGCCCGCTCCTTTAAGGTCTGCTGTAACTGCCGCTGGAGGACTGCTTCACTGCGATTCGATGACTGGATGGTGAAGAGTGAGAAGTTTTGATGTGGGGAGCCGGGCAGTGCCCCTTAAAAGGGCTAGGGCTAGGCTCAATATACAACTCGGTCAGTAAAGATCAAGGCATTTCCAAGCCTGTGGCCTGGTTTTTCAAAGAACTCAGTAAAGTTGGAAGGGACAGGGAAAGAGATTGAATTTACAGCTGGCTAAAGGAGGCCCAGAGAGATCAGATAATAATGCAATGGTTATTTCTATTACTACTACCACTGTTGGAAACTTTATGGAGTGCTTTACCAGGTACCATGCTAACAATCCCATTTAATCCTCACAACCATCATATGAGACAGTTCTTAGGGTAACCTCTATTGCGTAGATGAAAATCACGGAGTGTTTGAGGTTAAGTGCTTGCCTAAGATCAGTGAGACAGAGCTGAGATTT